CACATACATTCTAGTCAGTAATGTTCCTGATATTATATGCACACATTGTAAAGCATTAACGTAGAGGCTGAAGAATCGGTGATAGGAGAAGATTAGGTGTTGAGCACAAGGATTTAAGCTTTATCAATAATGATTCAATTTTTTTAAAGTACAATACACTGTCATATGCCTTGTGCAGTTAGAAGAAAATTCAGGCCTCAGTGGGCTCAGTAGCAGTACAGCTGCCATGGTAAATGTGGATTTCTGCTAGCTCTGCTCTCCTCAGTACAGCGGTGTTAATGACATACAGGTGCAAAGGGCCATTAAAAACTGTCAACCATGTGCCACACAATGTATCTTTCTACTTCCTCCTTCCTTCAATATGTCGTAGCGCTACCTGTGTTTATTTATTTTCAGCATTAGACAAAAAGATCTACAGCTTGAGAAGAAATTAGCTGTAGAGTTTTGAAATGAAGTCCAGTGAATTACTACATATTTATTTTTAGAATAATGGGAAAACTATCCAGGGTAAACTTTCTGCGAGCACATTAAACCAAATACGATGATTGGTGAATTATCTTCTCAAGAGCCTAAATGCTAATTACACAAATTATAGTGGAGGAGATGTTGGGTAATTGTGTGGACTAGAGATGATAAAGCATTCCTGAACTTTAGAGCCAGGGAAGACCCATCTTACGCAGCTGTTAATGGACAGCCCACTCTCATTTCTCTTCATAAAGTGGTATTGTGGGAAAGTCTGACTCTACATCAGTCTTGTTTAGATGCTCAGTTACCACTGATTACAAGAAACACATTCTTAATAAAAGCAATTTATTTTGGTCCATTTTCACTGTGGCCTATCCATGACAGGTTTCCTAAAACAGTTTCCTAAACCTCCTTGTTTCTGACAAAGGGTCAGTGCTTCAAGCAGTGCAGTACTCCATGCATCCATCACTTAGCATATATGTAATTAATTGTGGCCATCTCTTGGTGGCATGTCCTTCCCGGCATGTCACCACTCCAGCAGTAGCCAGTAGTGTATATTCTACTTTGTTGGGCTCCCACCTGTACCTAGTCTAGGACCTGGGTATGACACGTAGTCAGTAAGTTAGTGAATGAGCTAAGGTACTTCAGGTAATTAATTTGTGAATAATTAATATCCAAATAAAAGCATTATTATAAAACAATTACAAATGCATCCATGTTACAGTCTTGAGTACTGTAAATAATGCATTTCTATTATGTTATAATATTTGTTTAATCATATTGCATTCAATGTCTATCCTACAAATGATGTCACACAGTGACTCATCCAAATAATACAGCATAAGTACTTACGATGATCAGTTTACAGAGCAAAATATTGATTTACTGAGTGTCTAATAGTTTTCTGATCATTGGGCATATTAAAATAAGCCAATAAAAATATCTCTTCCCTCACAAGACCAAGTCACTGGCCTGAATTAGAACTGGCAAGTGATATTTTTCATCTCTGGTAGGCATTGTGTAATTCCTGACAATGTCCTGGTTCATACTGACTCTGTCAATGTCTTGTCCAAGGAATGAAATAGGCATTTCAACCAACTGGATTCACTTACTTATGGGAAGGCATTTCTCCTCATTTATAGTCTCTATTTCCTGAATGTTATGTTTTTTTCTCCTTCTCTTCTCTCTTCCTAGTAAAACAGGTAAAACCAATTAAAACCAGTTGTCCTGTTGACTCTGTCTCCCACTTTTCTCATCTGGGAAAGGCACACTCAGAACACTCGCTTGGCACTTGGATAAGCCATTTCTCAGGGTACTTCACCAAATGTGAAGTTAATGTGATGTATATTTTTGTATCACACATTTCAGTTCTTTATATTCTTTCTTGATATTCATATTTAGCATTCTAGATGTTTCCTCACTTGGCAAACATGTGTGACCGGATTTCCTATTATGAGAAAGGAAGCACTGTGGTTGAGGGCTGAGCCCTGGAGTGCACCATCTGGGTTTGAATCCTGACTTTACCACTTCCTAACTGTCAGGAAGGCAGCTTGATTTCCTTCTGAGGAAAGAGTGAGTGATAACTCGCCTCTGTTGTGGGACTAGGATGAGTCCAGTGGACCCTAGGAAATGGGCACTAGATTGTAGGAAGCACTTTGTAATGCCAAGGTTGGCAGTCACATCATTGGTGCAGTTAGCTCACCTGCATTCCCCTCTGGTCCTCCTGGCTTATACACAGCCCTCTCCTTTGAACTAACTCACAACCCAGCTCTGTTATAGCTTCTTCCCAGCCACTAGAGTCCTCTGATTATCTCTCATTCCTAGGAACTCCTAGAAGGCTCTGTCTACCTGATTCCCTTCCATTTGCTCACTGATTCCCAGCTCATCCAAATCCTAGCACCCTAACTTCTCTCGTCCCCAAGTGTGTGATTAGACACCTCTCTCTCCTCTATGCTTAGACACCTCATTTCCCCTTGAGCAAACTGAGCTTTATACCTTACGGGAGGCCTCCTTTATTGTACTAGAACCTACAAATGCCAGCTCACAGTCATGTAAGATGTCTCAGGAGTGTAAGTGCTGACCATGCAAGTCTGAGAGCCTGATCTTCAGAACCTATGCAAAAGTGGGAGCAGAGAGCAGACTCCACAAGTGGTCCTCTGATCTACACACACACACACACACACACACACACACACACACACACACACACCACAGCTCTCAAGTTCCTCCTCTCTGCTCCCACAGGAAACCATATAAATCTCCTAAATTTCATGACTTTTTATCTGGGTACTTAATGACAATCTCTAGTGAAAGTTTTTATATTTGTATATGGTAACCCTTCAGCTGTATTATATGCTTCTTAATGGTGAAACCATCACTGAGGGTAGTCTTTGAATACCATATGTATGAATTCATTTAATCTGCACTCTAAAACATATCTGCCATTTTTCCCTCATTTTGTGTTCAAGACAGAGAGAGATGAAGTTACAGAAGAGTACCTTTCTCTAAATATAGAAACCACATAAATAATTTTTACAGGCATGAATTTGCCTACAGAGTACAGCAACTTTGCTCTAACTGTAATGAATGATTTATAAATATCTGCATTTAGTTGTTCCTTGTATGTATTGCTAAATTATGGTGCTTCATTTCTGCTACTTCATTTTTAAATAGGGTTTTATTAATAATGTCTTTTGAAAGTAAACTGGGATGCTACTTCCATGACAATTACAGTTAGGCGATCCTCATTCTGAATATGCACTTGATGGATTAAGTAACTTCTGAAAAGTAACAGCACACATTGTGGACACCATCTAACTCACAGCATTGCAGTTAAAGGCTCTTAATATGTATCCTCTTAATATAATCCATTTAATATGTAGCCACTTAATAGTATACATTTAATATGTATCCATTTAATATAGATCCACTTAATATAATGCATTTAATATATCCACTATGTACTCATTTAATATATCCACTTAATATGTATCCACTTAATATATAGCCATTTAATATGTATTCATCTATTGTGTATCCACTTAATATATATCCACTTCATATTTATTAACTTAATATGTATCCACTATATATATATATATATATATATATATACACTCACTTAATATGTATTCACTTAATATATAACCAATAAGAATCAGCTGCCAGTTACCAGTATTTATGACTTTTAGACTTACTTGACTGTAAACTGGAAGTAGGATAGAATAATTGGCCTTTGGAGGATTCTAAAGGGGCTGCTCATAAGCTTATAATGTTCTAGGGATACTATAGAATACAAGGAATCCTAACATGAAAGGAGTCAAGACCCCACTATTGACTCCAGAAAGTTAAAGTCCTTTCACTTGCCCCAATTCTCACATGTGCTCTTGGATGGTGCACAGTGAACTCAGGTCCTTGAAGCTGCATGCATTCAATATCATTTAATATTTTGTTACTTAATCAGAACACAAAACCAAAACCAAAACAAGCCTCTAAAAGTGAACGAAGCACAAGAATTTCCAGAAGAGTCTCGCTGGAAGTCTCTGAAGTATGAATGTTCCATCCCCTTACAGGCTGCTTATGAATAGGGGGCTGTTAGAACTCTGAACCCTGGGAATCAGGAGAGCCAACCACTGACATTCAGCCCACACACCATCTCTGTACTCCATGTCAGCTTCTTAGAAAATATATTTATCTCCAGCATCAAACTGTGATAAGACGTGTAAATGCATTCTTATCTTCAAAGACAAGCATGTTTGGCTTGGCGTTTACTGAGGTGAATGGAATTGTAAAATGTTTCTCTGGAAAGTAAAGTCTCAAAGATACCCTACAAACTATTACAAAACCATTGGCTAAGTATGCAAATAAAATGTTCTTTAAAAATGTGTAGGCTTTTCTGAAAGCAGGACAGTTCTGGGGAAATTGTGTTACTGTAAAATTCAGATTGTTCATTTATTCCAAGCAATTATTCCTGTACTCTCATACACATGAAACTTTGCTAAACAAAAAGACCAACCAAACTTTAGTTTAGAATTATTATATCAATATTATATCAAAATGCATTTATGGAAAGGACAAACATGTAGAAAACTTGCAATTGAATTATATGTTATATATATGTCATATATTTGTACATATGCTGTGAACATAAAACGTGCATAAATATGTATGCACAAACATACAAATATGCACACATATGTAGCTTTAATTATTAAAATCCCAGTGCTTTGTTTATACAGGAAATTCATATGAACACATCACTAGAGTAAAGTTGTATTGTGAGAGGAAGAGAATCTCTGGCCAATGTCATGACTTGAGTACTGTTGAAAGTATGAGTAACAGCGTAAGGTTATAACAGCTCACCAAATTCCCTCTTGGTCATTATAGGCAACGCATGTGGTTAAAATAGCTTCATAGTTTAAGGTGTAAAGACATGTCACCATTTCTTAGAAACAAGCATAACTAAAACACATAAAGTATCATGTGGTCTCCATGACAATGGGATGGAGAGGAAGAAGGAGGAGAAAGCTTCCTACCTTCCATGGCCCTCTTAAAGAAGACCTTGCAGCTCCCACAGGTAAGCACGCCATAGTGACAGCCAGATGCTTCATCCCCACAGATTAAACAGATCTTCTGAGGTAAGGAATCAAAGCCATACTGCGGACTCTGGCTGGCTTCTGAATCTGGCCTTGAAATGCAAACAGATTCTGTTTAGTTTTAGGTTCACTGCTATCTGATAAAGAAAGCTTTCTTACACTGTTCTCTATGAGAACAGAGAATTTTTAAAATAGAACCAAAGTTTTTATTTATGAGGGTTTTTTTTTGTTTGTGTTTTAGTTTTGTGCTAAATGTCTCATGTAATTGGGTTGCTTTGAAACTTGTTTCATATCAAAGCCTGGCCTTGAGCTCATGAACTTTTAGCTTTCAAGTACTGGGGGCAGAGGCATTTGCCACCATTCCCAGCTTATAAAATGCTGGGGATAGAACTCTGGGCTCAGTGTATGATAGGTAAGCAATGTTTCTAGGAACTGATCCACATCCTCAGCTCCTAGAACTATAAACATACATGCATGCATACACAAACATATACACATGCATACGTATACACACATATTTGAACGTCAGTGGACTAAACTTGATGCTTGATATCAGAAACTCCCTATAATGGATTCCTTGGACATGCAAATCATTAACATTCAGTAGCTTAGTAAAAAGAGAGCCAGTGCGTCCTTTCATGTTCACAAAAGCTCGAAACTCTCCTTTAAAAAGAACTCCTTATACAGAAATGATTTTGCCTTTGGTGGATGAAATATGACCTCCTTCCTGAGTGCTGGGTCACAACAAATACGGCTGAGCTTTAGGAGATTAACTGGAATTAGCACCAGTTCCGGTTTGAAAACTTAGCCCTGGAAAGGTTGATTGCTCCAACATATAAGTATAGATGTGATTTTTAGGCATTGTTAACACGCTGAGATTATTTTGCCTAGTCACTGCATTTGAGACTCCAAACCCTGAGCATTTTTCCCCTTTCACATCCATTACATCAGTATGTGGGGTAATGTTCTTGAAAACACATATGAGGAAAGAGAAGGTGCCTGCACCAGTGTGAGGACTCTATGCTCTGTCTGCCCTGCACTTGGTGTTTAAACACTTCCGTCCTGCAGTTTACCTCACTCTTCATGTTCCTAGGAAAACTGGGCCAGAGACCTGCCCAGATCCCTAAGGTGTTTCTGATTTCAGTTCTGAAGCCCCAGCCCTCCCAGAAAAACTGGGCTTTTGCACCTCAGCCTCCCCAACACACACACACACACACACACACACACACACACACACACGCACAAGAGCAATGTCTTTCTTACAAAGTATTTAATGAAACCTCCAACAAATCCTCAGCACAAAGATCTGAGAGTGACACCTCAGGTTTTGAACCTGGGTGCTTCAGCTTCAGGAAGTTTGCAGGCAATGTTTGGGAGAACAGTGCACAACAAAATGGTATATCTGCACCCCCTTTTACGCCCCTCCCCTCAAAAAATGTAAGAAGAAGGGAGGCAGCTCCACCCCCCCGCCCCCACATCTACTGCCACCCTGCTACACCGAGCTGCTGGGGGAAATGGAGCAGGGCAGGGCCAATTGCTGGTGCTCACCTCAGGTAGTTGAGGTATGGCGGGTAGACCTGGGGCAGGCTGTCCTTGAGCACCGCGGCCTGGTAGCCCAGCTGCGGGAGCCCATTGATGCCGAGAGGCGGGTAGATGGTGGGTGCTGCGGCGGCGGCCGGGGCGGCGGGCAGGCTGTCCCGGGGTAGCAGGCAGGAGCCTGCGGCCGGGGGCTTGCAGGGCAGTGGAGCGAACGAACCCTGCGTGGGCGGCGCGCCCTCCGCTTTGTACAGGATGCACTCCAGCGCGGAGCCCGAGGAGGACGCAGGCGACACCGCGGCGCTGCCGGGGCCGCCGGCCACTGCCGCCTCTCCGGGCCTGGAGGATGGAGCTCGTGACGGCGCCGGCGCCAGCGGGAAGTCTGGAAAGGTGGCGGCGCTGGCACCGGCCAACAGGTAGGGGCGCGGCGAGCGCGCAGCAGCCTCCGTGCCCTCTTCCTCCTCCTTGATCTTCAAGCCAGGTGGCTGGAAGTCACCATAAAGAGGGAATGTGTCCTCTTTGGGGTCGCCTTCCGGAGGGTAGGTGCAGTCTGGGAAGTCACCGCAGGGCACCGGCGGGGATGGCGCGGAGGGCGAGCCTCGAGATGGGGCAAAAGGGCCCTGCGCTGCGGCCCCGCCGTCGTAGCTGTCCCCCTCCAACAGCTGCCGGGTGCGGGCGGCTAGGAGTGCGTGGTTCAGAGGCAGGATGGGCACGTGAATGAAATCCACCACTGTGGTGGCTAGTGGGGAGCGCCCGGGGGCAACCGGAGCATCTTGCTCAGAGGAGACCCTGGGAGCAGAAAACCGGGAATCTTCCTTGGGGACCAGGGTGACGCCTCCTGAGGCCGCTGCGGGCCCGTTGGCTGCGACTCCTCCTCCGCTGCCCGTGCCTTCCAGTGCTCGAGCTTTGCTCTTCAGAAGCGGACCCGCAGAGCCCTCGGTCTCAAGGCCACCGTCCTCCTCCACCTCCACAGCAGTTGGCTGCGGGGACGGCTTCACCGCTGTCCCGGGCCAGTGAGCACTCCCTGAGGTCGGGAGCAACAGCTGCTGGGGTGGTGACAGCCCTTTGGGCAGCACCTTCTGCCCCGCTCCTGTCCCGGAGCTGTCGCCAGCCTTGCTCTCTGGCCGGTTCATGAGCGGGGACAACAACCCCTTGGTAGCAGGGACACTGCGGGGGTCTTCTGGAAGCTCTGGCCCAAAGAGACACCAAGAAGTGATGGCCTCGCAGGCTGGAGGGCTGGCGTGGTTCTGCTCGGTCCCTGAGGGCGCCAACAAAGTGTCTAAGACACTGTCTAAGAGTCTGCTGTCCTTCTCCGGGGCTCTGGGATTTCTACCTCCTTCCCCGCGAGTGGCTTCGACTCCAGAGAAAGCTCCCTCCACTTCGGACAGCGACTGCTGGCCCTGTGTCTTTCCGTCTGGGAGCTCCGGACCCTGGCAGGACCGAGGGAAGAGCAGCCCGTCCAGGGAGATTGGTATAGGCGAGACTACAGACGACGAGTCCGAGTGTTGGCTCCCCTGGAAGGGACCAGGGTCCAAGCGTGCAAGCAAGGGGGACCCGACGTGGTTGGGGGAGGGCGCGGCGCCAGACGTGTGGAGAGCCCGCGGATCCTTTGCCTGCAGCTCAGTCATGACGACCCGAGTTCCCCTTTTCTCCTCCCCGTCTCCTGGGAGGAGGGAAAAGGAAAGGAGGAGGGGGTGCCGGTGATATAGGGGCAGAGGAAGGGGGAAGTGGGTGTTGAGTCGCAGGACCCGTGGGATCTCCACCTCCCGGTCGGGAGGGGCGGTATTGGTCAGCTCCTGTCCTTACCCTCTCCACCCAGACGCAGAGGAAGGGTGGTAGTCGCGCTGTCCCGGTGGCGGTGGGGTGAGGACAGGAAGAAGTAGCTGGAGCAAGCTGGTCTCAGAACTGGGAGTTACTCAGGAGACTTTTTTCGTGCTTCTCCTTGAATGGGAGACCCGGTGCTGGAGTGGCCCGTGCAGTATAAAGGGCTCCCGATATCTCCGGACTTCTTATGTTAGTTGAAACCTAGACATCTTAGGAAGTTTACATTACAGTCCTCACCAAAGCCCTGAGGCTAAGAAGTAGCCCATTCTTAGTCATTCTCCTGCTGCAGCTCCCTGGGTTCTCTACAATCCTAGCGAGTTCTGGTTGTAGGTTGGTCTGGTAAAGCAAAGAGAAGCTAGCAGAATGGCAGAATCCTTACACCAGTAAATTTGACAAAGCCTGATAGTGACAGTCTAGACTGGCTCCATAGCTTTCTAGCAAGCCTCCACGCTCTAGGAAGGCCCGCCCAAAGCCCCTCCCTAGCCAATCACCGGCTAGACTCAAAACTCTGGAGTTGGCATTCCTGCTACTTGCTAGTCTGATTCCTCCTGGAATATCAGATGCTTTGAGAAGAAATCTTCTAAACATATCAGAATTTATACAGCCAATTAAGTATGCCAGTCCCACTGAGGAGAAAAACTATACCCTATAAAAAGTAAAATTGTTGTAAATATTTCAGAATTTGAAATTTGTAAAGATTCAACACTGACAATGACATATGGTGACATTATTTTTTATGTATAAAAGGTATAAAAATGATCCCAAATATTTTCATTTTTTATATGTGTATGTCTCTGTATGTCACATGATTACAGAGTTGCTTAGAGGACAGCAGAGAGGGTGAGAGACCCCAGAGGTGAAGTTACAGGTGGTTGTGAGAGGTCTGATGTGAGTGCTGAGATCCCAACTAGGCTCCTCTGAGGGAGCAGCAAGTGCTCTTGTGTGTAAACATGTGAGCACCTGCATGTGACACTGTGCATATGGTAGTCCAAGACCAGCCTCAGGGAGTGGATTTCCTCTTGGAACCATGCAGATTCTAGAGATAGAACTCATCCAGAGTTTTGCACTGAGCACCCTTACTGACTGCCTGTCCATCCTGCCTCTAACATGTTCAAACTCTTCTTGTGACAAGTGGGCCACAAATGTGACTTAACAGTTAAGGATAAAAGACAGTTGATAACACATTTCTGCCTGTGTGGGGAATTTAGTCATTTAGTCATTTAGTTTGTCTTAATGAATAAATCTCTATATTTCCGTGAGGTTCCCTTCAGTCCTTACTAAATATCCTGCATCACATCTTAAGACTTGGAAAGCTACACAGCATTGTCTCCCCCTCAATGTTTCTCTACTCTTAGAATAATTATCATTGAGCTTTAAAAATAAATCACCTCTAAATTCATGAGAACACTGTGGATGGGAGAGAGTAATATGATATATTTTATATACAGTCATTCTAAGGTCAGTGGGCATCTTGACACTGTCTTAAGCATGCCCTATTCAAAACTGAGACAGTCATTTGGGAAATGTCTTTAAGCGTGTCCAGGTCCTTTTTATGCTGATGTCTTGCAGTTATTTTCAGCCAGGTCTAGAAGATCAGTGGAAGACTCCAAAACTGCAGAGCAGGTGGGGCTGCTGGAGGCAAGGTGCCTGGATGCCTGACTCACCAAGGAGGTACTACATAGGAGAAGTGAACCTCTGTTACTCTGGAGCATTGAGTTTGGGCGTGGACTACTCCAGCAAGGAGTTATCCCTGACTAATTTTAGATGTGTGAGAATTAGGGAGGTAGAAGAGAACTCAAGGAAGCCTTATTGTATGTCCTTACAGCATCAAATGGTAAAAATGGAGTGTGGGAACTTCAGGGGGTGGATTTTCTGACAGTGCATAGAATAAGTGTGGAAAGCAAAGAAACAAGGCTAGTAGGTAGCCCCCTATACGAGCATATGCATGTACAATGTATATGGGGAATCTTGACTGAAGACAGCATGAGACATAGAAATGTTTGCCTCCAAAAGTGCATTCATTCCTTTTACTACATACTGTCCCTTCCCCTCCCTTCCTTGAAACATTGCTACTCACACAGTAACCAGTGATCTGCGTTCTATCACTGTATACTAGGACTTCTAAAGGTTCCTGGCTGCTTTACTAGGTGTTCTGTTAAGGTATGCTCTATGTCTTAGACAGGCATCCTTTCTCAGAATAGTTTTAGATTTATAGCAAAATCTACCAGCGAATAAAGAGTAACCATATGCTCTCTGTGCAGCTTCCTGCATGTTTCTATTAGTGAGCTCAGGCTGATGCATGGTTGTTAACTAATGCCCAGAATATATACAGAGATCCCTTGTTATTCATGATCTTGATACTCCTGAGGACTCTTGTAGGGTGACATTCTATATGTAGTCATGGCTCATGGGATTGGGAAAGAAATTTAAACTTGGCGAATTCTGTTTTCACTACCTAGTCTAAAGGATTCACACTAAACAGGGCTTACGGTATGATGATGGCCTTGAGCACCTGTGTGAAGCAGTGTTTCTCAGGGACCTTCACATGAGTATTAATTAGCACCACCCTTTGGAAGGATGTCACCATGAGCAATAAGAGTCAATGCGAATGGGAATGTGTGGGGACAGGAAGTTACATTCTCTACTCCAAGATGGAGTGACTAACTGGAAGCTTTATCTGTAGTTCTGCATGGGGGAACACACTTCAGCTCTATTACCACTTTATTTTGTCTTTTGTGTATACCACTATGGATACATCTTGCTCCTAAGTGTTTTTTAGCTTTGAGTATTGGGAGCTCCTTTGCTGTCCTCTGTGCCAGTTGGCATGCTTCGCTACTATGTGTGGCAAAGATGCACAGGCATGGAGTAAAGGATTTTAAACCCTTTCTTTGATTCTCTGGAGCCAAAAGAAAGTTTTCTTTGATTCTCCAGAGATTCTTTGGAGACAATTTGCGTGCTACCTCTATCCTCCTAGAATCAGCCGTTTCTCTTTGGAGTTCAGTTCATTTATTTGAAAAAAAAATTGTATCGGAAATGGAGATTTCCATTCCAGTTTATATAATATACTCTTCTTATTTTTTGTATAATACTTTGAGTTTCCACTCTATTGTACCATACATCAACAGTTTACTCTATTGGCAAATTAGAACTACAGTGAATGAATATAGCATGTTGTGTTTGCCTATGCTGACAAACAGTTGACAGTTGTATGGTTTAGGCTTTGCTAGAAATTTACTATACATATCTCTGTCTTTACATATATATATATATATATATATATATATATATATATATGTTTTAATTTTTTTAGATAAGTATTCAGAAGTGAAATGGCTAGATATATTTATGTGTTCTGTGGCCTGCTTGTGGGATCTCCATGGACTTCATACATTGGCTCTGCATTGCTAGAATAACCATCCTTGAAGGTTGGGCTGCTGAGAGGGTGAAGTATAGCAGACAGTTGCTTAGTTGCTCCTGCCCCATGGTAAGATGGTAAGAAGTCCCATCTATGAACCAAAGAGAAAAACCTCACTAGAAATTGAATCTGCCACTTGGATGATGCTCTGATCTGGGCAAGGTAGCTCTGATCTGGTGTATCTAAGCTACCCATTGAGAAAATGGTGCTTTATTATAGCATTGCCAATGGACCTACACCTAGGTGTGCACACACAGCCTTAGGTGTACAGACAACTGTCAAATCACTTTCCATAGTGGCTGCCCCATTTATCCTTCACCCTAGGGTGTTGGAGTTCTAATTATGACATAACCTGAGAAACAATTGGTTAATTTTGTTTTATTTCAGCAAATCTAAGTAGTGTGTGATGGACCCTCAGTGGGGTTTTTGTTTTTCTCTAGAGACTTATGATGTTCACCTTCCTTTTGTGTGTTTGTTTTCTATATATCTTCTTCCATATACATCTGGGTCTGATCACATGTATTATTGGCTTTAAAAAATTTTCTGCTTAGTCTGGGGATTCCTCAGAAAATTGAACATAGTACTACCTGAGGACCCAGCTATACCATTCCTGGGCAAATACCCAAAAGATCCTCCAACATACAACAGGGACACATACTCCACTATGTTCATAGCAGCCTTATTTATAACAGCCAGAAGCTGGAAAGAATCCAGGTGTCCTTCAACAGAGGAATGGATACAGAAAATGTGGTACATTTACACTATGGAGTACTACTCAGCTATTAAAAACAATGACTTCATGAAATTCTTAGGCAAATGGATGGAACTAGAAAATATCATCCTGAGTGAGGTAACCCAATCACAAAAGAACACACATGGTATGCACTCACAGATAAGTGGATATTGGCCCAAAAGTTTACAATACCTAAGATACAACACATAGACCACATGAAGCTCAAGAAGAAGAAGGAAGACCAAAGTGTGGGTGCTTCAGCCCTTCTTAGAAGGAATATCAAAATACTCAACCAGAGCTCCCAGGCTCTAAACCTCCAGCCTGGGAACACAAGGGGAAGGACTCATGTCTCCACCTGTATAGGTAGTTGAGGATGGCCTTGTCAGACATCAATGGAAGAGGAGGGCCTTGGTCCCTGATAGTTTGGATGCTCCAGTGTTGAGAAATTCAAGAGCAGGAAGGTGGGAATGGGTGGATGGGTGGGGGCACACCCTCATAGAAGTAGGAGGAGGAGGGATGGGATAAGGGGTTTTGGGGGAAAATGGGAGAGAGGATAACATTTAAAGGTAAATAAATAAAATATCCAATAAAAAACAGATAATGGATCTGGCTGTTGTAGTCGAGCACTTGAGGTTTTGTCAACAATTTGTTACAGG